GAATGGAGGCTTGGGGCACATGGGTGTCTCCCGGGTTCTTAGCCACACCCTCCTGGGGAGCACATTGCTGCTGTGAGCTGGGCAGAGCCTAAAAGGAAGGGGAGATGGGAGGGGTTGGGGGTGGTGGGCTGGCAGAGACCCAGGAACAATCCAGAGGGGATGAGGGGGATGGCTTGGGCCCCTGGAGGGTTTCTACTTGGTGTGGCCAAGGGTACAGAAGACCAGCCCAGGAGTAAAAGTCCAGAAATGAGGAAGGAGGAAGGGACCCCACCATCTGGAGGTGTCCCACCACTCAGACCTCTGTGTGCAGACAGCCCTTGGCCACACTCCCAAGGAGGAACCTGTGTGTAGATGCCACCTGCTGGGGGTTTAGGGAGATTCCCCACAGCGGGAATGATAACCACAGGCTTCGTTAGATCCATTAGCTAAAGATCTGTGTGCTCCAAAGCTTGGCCACACTGAATTCCTGTTTTTCTAGCAGAAAAATGGGTTGCTGCTCAGATCTTTCAAGGCAAATATCTTTAAGAAAAGACTTCTAGTCTTTGCCAGTGTGGCTCAGTTGGTTGGAGCATTGTCCTGTGTAAGGAAAGGTTGGGGGTTCAGTCCTGGTCAGTGCCTGTACAGAAGGCAACTGATGTTCTCTCTCACATCGATGTCTCTCTCTCCCTTCCCCTCTCTCTAAAATCAATAAACACATCAACAGGTGAGGATGAAAAAACAAAAAGAGACTTCCATGATGAAAAATTTAAATGAGCTTTATCTTGCATGCGCACAAAATTAAATGATCCAATTTTAAGCCCACAATTTGAGTTGGACCAATGCATACGGTCACATAAGCACCACCATAGTCCAGCTAGACAACCTTCCGCCACCCCTTTGCAATCAGCCCCACGTGCCCGCTGGGGAGAGGCAGGAAAGACCCAGGAGGGAGGGAGAAGGAGGAGCTGAGGTCAGGCCCAGCTGTTCCTTGTGTACATCCTGAAGTGAGGGCTTATCGCCTCCATTTGCCCCAGAGGGACCCTGCAGTCCAGGCAGCCAGTGGATGTCTCAGGGGTGCACAGTCAGACTGAAACCAGGCACAATGGGTCTGAGACCGCCTGTCACTACTTGAGCCAAATTCAGCAGAGACACAGTTGAATCATATGTGAGTGTTTATTCCAATAACTAGACGCAGGGGTCCTCAAACTTTTTAAAGTGGGGTCCAGATCACGGTCCCTCAGAGAGCTGGAGGGCCGGACTATATGAACTACTAATTCCTACTGTAACACCTCGGCTGTGCTCACTGCCCCAAAAACCTGGCGGGCCGGATCAGACTCCTCTGCGGGCCGCATGTGGCCCGAGGGCCGTAGTTTGAAGACGCCTGATAGAGGCTCAGTGCATGAAAATTTATGCACTATAGGGCTGGTCTCTCAGCCTGGCCTGCCCCCTCTCACAGTCTGGGAGCCCTCATGGGCAAGAGGTAAGCCAGCAATCAGGGGAAGGTGACACCCCCATCATACTTCTGCTGCTGCCATGCTGGTGGAGCAATCCTCGGCCGGTCCAGGGTACCTGAGCCTTGGGCAGCCATGGGTGGCTGGGCAGCTGCCATCCAAGGCTTGCCTGCGCCTCGGGCAGGCCTTGGGCAGCTGGGGGTTGTGGAGTCTAAACACCACCATCTTATGGCTGTGGGTAACCCCATCTTTGAGGGAGGGGCAGTCAATTAACATAGTCCCTCCTTATTGGCTGTAGGTGTGTCTGACATCTTTTCCACAGCTTGAGGGTTAATTAGCATATTCCCTCTTTATTAGATAGGATGCCAGTAGTGTGGGGAGAGCAGTCAGTCACCCTGGGAATTCTGCTCTGACCAGTTGGCTGGTTATAGACACACGAGGGAGAAGCTAATTATGTGCAGCTACAAGTATAACAGGGAAAGGGGAGGGCAGGGTCTGCAGTCCGGCCTTCAGGAGCTCAAAGTCCCACTACAAGGTGGCCAGCCTTCTATGACGTACAAACAGCTCAGTCCATTCCAGGGGCCGGAGAATGGTCAGTGTTCCTGAGGCAAACTCGGAGGGGATCAGGGTCCAGGCACAGGCACCAAACCAAAGCGCGTCCTGTCCTTGGACTATTCTCAAATGTAGTTCTTTTCTGAGTCACGGACCCACCGAGGCATCTGATCTTCTTACAGCCTTGTCTCCTCCTCCCGTTCCCCAGGGTCTGTAAGGGAACTCTTATCGACAGTGAGCGGAATCATCACTAAACACCTGAGGCTCTGTTCTTCTCACCTACTGTCCAGACCTCAGCAGGCCCGACCGGCATGGCTACAGGGCTGAGTATCAACCTATCAACAAAGAGGTCAAGGTTCAGTTCCGTGTCAGGGCACATGCCCAGGGTTGTGGGCTCGATCTCCAGTGTGGAGCATGCAGGGGGCAGCCAATTCATTATTCTCTCTCATCATTGATGTTTCTATCTCTCTCTTCCTTCCTCTTTGAAATCAATAAAAAAAATAGTATTTTGGGGGGAAATACCCAAGCAGGACCCATCATCACCCCAGACACCAGGCTGCAAACCTGCGCCTTTCCTCCTCGCCTGGCACAGGTGATGTCAGTGCTGCCCCCTCCTGGAAGCTCGCCACAGTTCCCAGGCACATTGGCTCCTCTGTCCTTGGGGAGCCTGGTCTTGGGGTCCTCACAAGAGTCCGAGCTCAAGGCCCAGCTTGAACCCAGCAGAGACAGTTCAGGTCCTGTGACCAGACTCTCCCTGCCCTGCCCTCCCCTGTGTCCCTGTCCCCATCCCCACCCTCAGGTCCTGTGAAGTCCACCAAAGACCAGCCGGACACAGCTCCAGCTGCCCAGCTTCGGGCGGCCCTCCCAAACAGTCCTCTGTCTGGCCAGCGCCTGGTGACCGAGGTGACTAGGGCCTCTGGGAAGGGCTAAGACTTTCTGGTCCCAAGCCCCAACTCTGCCTAGCTCCAAATTATGGACCCGATGGGAGCATCCTCTCTGAGATGTGGAAACTGAGGCACGGGGCAGGCTGCATGAAGACCCACCAGGACTGAGCTGCTCAGGGAACAGCCTGGACTCCTTCACACCAGTACCCAGCCCAGAGCCTCAGCTCAGAGGTGCGGGAGCCACGTGGCTCCGATGAACACGGACGTGAGTGGCACCACCTCTGGGTGCAGGCCTGTGTGAACAGGTGGCAGCCACACATAGGAGGTGACCTCGGGAAAGGGGAAAGCGCCCTTTCTGTCCAGCTCAGGGAGTGGGGCTCAAGCCCAGGCTTGCCTGGGGGCCGGATGCTGCCCAGTGTGGGGCAGGGCAGGTCCAGAAGAACCCAGTCCTCTGCCCCCTGGACCCCCAGGGCCTTCCCTGGTTCCCTCATGATAGACCTTCAGGGCCTTCTCCTGTTTTAGCTCATTTGCCTCCAGCATTAAATCCCCTCATTCCACCAGCACAGCATATATGGTTTCCTGCAGGATCTCCACACCCCCAGATGGCAGGCCAGCTCTCCACAAGAAACTAATCACTATGGGTGTAGCCCCTCGATGACTCTGATGGGACTCGGTTCTGTGCCCGTTTTCCAGGAGAGAACAGGGAGCGGTGGCGTACCCCAGAATGCCACTCTCGCCTGGACCTGGGGTGCAGGTCACCAGCAGCCGGTGACCATGGGCCTGCACGGAGCACCCTCAGGAGGACCCATGTGGGCACAGAGGAAGGGCTGCCCCCTCGCAGCCCCCTTGGCCCAGCGGAAGGCCCGCTGAGCCTCCCTGATAAGTCTGTCACTGCCGCTGGCTGAGCGCCTGGAGATCCCAGGGCCAGACAAGGGGAAGCGGGGTGCCCGGCCTCCTCCCTGCTCCCCCAGTGTGGGCGTCTCAGCCCCAGGCCCCCCATGTCCCTTTCCTTCCTTGCACCCCCACTGGAGGAGCCCTGGTCCCTCAGTGTCCCCAGCACAGCCTGCACTGGGAAAGGTGTAGTTGCGCTTGTGCAAGGTGAGCAATCCAGGGAGCTCATCCCCCAACCACAGAGGCAGCCCCGAGAGTGTGGGGCAGAGAGGGAGGGAGGGAGGAGGGTGCTGGCCGGCCCCTCTGCTCTCACACGGAGGAAGGGCAGTATTCTGGCTGCGATCAGATGGTTAAGGGTGAAAGGGAAGGAGGAGGTGAGCTCCCCACCACGGTATCCACAGCGGGGAGGCTCAGGGGAGTGGGCAGAGGCCCTCCCACACGGACCTCCAGTCTGCACCGTGGGCAGCGGAGCTCAGGCATGAATACTGTGCCCAGTAGACAAGCCGCACGCACAGCAGCCGGAGGCACAGAACCCGTGGCCACGGGACCTGAGCGGTAACAGGAAGCTCGCTCGGCCACCGCTCATCCAAGAGGCGGACGCATTGGACGAGGGCCTGGGGCCGTCAGTGTTGCAGGCGGACACCTGTCCCCTGAGAGTCTCCCGATGTCCACATGTGCATGCGCAGTGCGGCCTGAGGCTGAGGACGGGGCTGGGAGGGCGGGCACTGCGTGGTCGGGGGGCCCCAGGGTGTGGGGCCAAGGGTTTATCTACATTGTGACCCCGATGCAGCTTACCTGGCTGCCCCTAGAATCCTCTTTTTAAAAATGTTTTATTCATTTCAGGGAGGAGGAGAGAGAAACATCAATGAGAGAGTCATTGACGGCTGCCTCCTGCTCATTCTCCTTCTGGGAACTGAGCCCACATCCTGGGCATGTGCCCTGACCAGGAAACAAGCCGTGACCTTCTGGTTCATAGGTCAATGCTCAACCGCTGAGCCGTTCTGGCTGGGTTAGATTCCTCTTTTAAATGCTCTGTGTTGCTTTCTGTGTCCTGAATTCCCATGACCGCTCCCCGGGGAGACACAGCCCAGGCACCAGGGCCTGGGGAGGGGTTGTCCCCGCAGCCAGGCCAGTGCTCAGGGCCGGGTCCCCTCAGTGACACACAGTGGCTGCGTGGCTGCCCCTGGAGCCCTCCCTCCCCCTCGGTGAGGCCCACAGGAGGACACACGGCCACAACCACATGTGCTCTTCACACACTTTAATGAGGGGCAGTGCCCACCCCCCACCCCCTGGGCTGAGGAGGGGTTGGCTGGGGCGGCTCAGGGCAGGGGGTAAGGAGGTGGAAAAGGCAGACACTGGGCAGGAAGCAGTGGTCTGGGGCAGGAGGGGGCTGGATTCTCCTCGGCCCCAGGTGGCAGCCCGAGGGAGGGGCTCAGCGCTCCTTAGGGACGTGCTAGTGGATCCAGTCCAGGAAGGAGGTGACGCTGGTGTAGATGCTGGGCTTGTTGGCTTGGGGGAAGGGGCTTAGGGCAGAGGGCAGAGAGAGGAAAGGGCAGACACTGGGCAGGAAGCAGTGGTCTGGGACAGGAGGGGGCTGCATTGTCTTTGGCTCCAGGTGGCATCAGGGCTCCTTGGGGACGTATTGGTGGATCCAGTGCAGGTAGGAGGTGACACGGGTGTAGATGCCGGGCCTATTGGGCCGGGCACAACCGTCACCCCAGCTGACCACACCCGCCTGCATCCAGGTGCCGTTGACCTTGCAGACCAGGGGCCCTCCAGAGTCGCCCTGGGGAGGAGAGGGTCAGTAAGTGGCTGCAGAGGCTGAGGGGGGGGGCCTTGGGGGAGGACACACACGCATCTGGCAGAAGTCACTCTCCTCGTCCCCGGCACAGATCACGTCCTTGACAATGTGGACGTTGTCCCCCGTGTAGAGGCCAGTGTGGTATTCCGAGTCACATTTGCTGTTTTCCACGATGAGGACCCTCATCTCCTTCAGGGGGAACGGTGGGGGGAGATGTTCTGTGGGGTGAGAGGAGGAGGGCGAAGCAGGTTGGACTGAGAGGCTTTGCCAACCTGCCATGGGATGGCACAGGGGCTGGGATGGCACAGGGGCAGGGATGGCAGCAGGGGGCTGCTGCTACCTCCTTGGTGCCAGGCCTGAGCCCAGGCACATGCTGGGCTGCCATCTTCTCCCCTAAGGTGGGCCTCGTCCTTGACCTCACCTATGCCCCTTTGAGGAAGGAAAAGGAAGGTGTGGGATCCAGGCCCGGGTTCCTTCCAGCTCTGCCTCCAGGACTCAGTTTTCGGGGCTGGATGGATTGGATGTTTTGTCTCCACTGGTGCCTGAGTGATGCCACAACCAGGTCCCTTGTGGGAGGCAGCTTTATGTATAATTGCCAAAACTTGGAAGCAAACAAGATGTCCTTCAGTGGGTGAATGGCCAAATAAACCCTAGTCCATAGAGACATTGAAATATTACTCAGCACTAAAAAGAAATGAGCTATTAAGTTGTGAAAAGACGTGGAGAAAACAAATGCCTATTACTAAGCGAAAGTAGTCCATCTGAAAAGGCTACGCCCTGTTTAATTTAAAATATATGACATTCTGGAAAAGGCAACTTATGGCAACAGTAAAAATATGATTTCCAGGGGGTAGAGGAGGGAAGGGATGAATAAGCAGAGCACAGAGGGACTTTAGAACAGTAAAACTACTGCACATGACACGATCATGTTGGATACATGTCATATATTTGTCCAAACCCACGACACACACAATCTCAAGAGTGAACCCGAGTTTACACTGTGGGCTCTGGATGACTAAGATGCACAGTGCACAGGCTTCATTTGTAAGAAATGTGCTGCTCTGACGGAGGACGTGGATCATGATGGAGACCCTGCAAGTGTGGAGACGGGATATCTCTGTACCTTCCATTTAATTTTGCTGTAAATCTGAAACTACTCTAAAACATGAAGTCTATAAAATCATGCTGCTTTTTTATTTAATTAATTAAATAAAAATAGAAGTTCTAATTTGAATGCACAAACCACCTTTATCTTTGAGCCCAGATAGACAGAATTTTTATTATGTATTATCATTAATTCACCTAATCTGAATACATCTTTCATAGTATTCTATTTTGCCCATCAAGTGGTAAATTAATGTCAAATGTTTAATATTTTACTTAGCATTATCATATTAATTTAGAGGTTTTTTATTATATTTTAATCACAGTTCTTTTATATAAATTCTTTACATTGATTGAGACACAGAAGTTTTTGTCAAGTTGAATTACATGTATTAGCCTTTAAGTGTTCCTTATTTATTTTTTTTTAATTTTTTTAAATATATATTTTATTGATTTTGTACAAAGAGGAAGGGAGAGAGATAGAGAGTTAGAAACATCCATGAGAGAGAGTCATCTTTCAGCTGCCTCTTGCACACTCCCTACTGGGGATATGCCCGCAACCAAGGTACATGCCCTTGACTGGAATCGAACCCCGGACCTTTCAGTCCCCAAGCCAACGCTCTATCCATTGAGCCAAACCAGTATCGGCTTAAGTGTTCCTTATTTAAAGACAACCCTTAAAAATAATAATATTATGGATACTATTATCCTGATCTGTTATGTTTATGAGTTCTTTGCTATCTTATTTGTGTGTGTATATATATATATATATAAAAATATGATACATTGGACATTATAATTTCTTTTCATTCATTTTTCTTCTTCTACATATAGTATTTTTAATTCAATTCTCACAAAGCTCAGTTTAGAACCCATTCCTTATACTTTTGATATTTCATTAGTTTTCATAATTACAATTGACCCATTACATGGAAACTTAGTTTAAGGCTACTCAAAGCCATTACTCTGATCTACTGAGGGACTTCAGAAGTGGTTCTCCTGCCTTGCCCTCTCCTAGCTTATGTCATCTCAATCATGTGCTCCTGCCTGTTTCACAGAAACACAGGCTCCTTTTGGTTTGCTTTTAAGGTCATTCTTAATTTACACTTTTATTAAAAACTGCCATTAGTGACTTCATGTGTGGGCCTTAAGAATATCATGCTTAAGAAAGATAAGTCAGACAGAAAAAGTTAAGAGCCACATGATTTTTACACATGTGTGGGATATAAAACTTAAAGCAACAAATAAGCAAATAAGAAAAACAAAAACTCGGAGGAGGATCCAAGATGGCTGCTCGGGTAGACACCTAACCGCAGCAGCTCACAACAGTTTCAATGGAATACAACTAAAATGTAGAGTGGACATTACCCAGACCTACAGGTAGTTGACTGACTGAAAACACTACAATAGGAAGGTGGGAGAAAACCAGAAGGAAAATCAGAGGAGCTGAAAAAAAAGCCTAAGGTACGGAGACATGCTGCGCGCTCGCATGTATGCGCGGAGAGGTCGCAGCCGGAGAGGAGGAGAGGGCTGGGTGCTGCCTGGCGTTCCCTAGCAGGAAGGAAATAAAACCCCCAGCCTGGGCTGAACCCCCGAACCGGCAGCGCTGAGCCCCATTATGGGCCAGATTCTGGGGACCCAGGCTCCGGCAGGGGGAGACGGGGCTGGGAGGCTGAATCCCAGGGGAAAAACGAAAGGCGGGGGGCCCCGGAGTCGTGCGCGCTTTGTGCGCAGAGGACTGAATGTAGACTCTGATGCTGCATTACCCTAGCCGGAAGAAACAAAGCCTCCGGCGGAGCTGAGCCTCAGAACGGAGCGCCCCGAACTCCCGGTCTGGGCCAGTCCCTGGGGACCCAGGCCCGGGCACGGGGAGACGGGCCTGTGAGGCGAAATCCCGGGGACAGCGCGAAAGGCGGGGGCCCCCGGAGTCGCGCGCTTTGTGCGCAGAGGACTGAATGTTGACTCTGATGCTGGATTACCCTAGCCAGAAGAAACAAAGCCTCCGGCTGCACTGAGCCTCAGACCGGACTGCTCCGAACTCCCAGTCTGGGCCAGTCCCTGGGGACCCAGGCTGGGCAGGGGGAGACGGGGCTGTGAGGTGGAGTCCTGGGAGCACGGCGAGAGGCCGAGCCCCCGGAGTCCGAGCCCCCGGAGTTGCGCACAGTGCGCGCAGAGGACAGTCTGTTGACTCTGATCCTGGACTCCCCTAGCGGTAGAGAGAAAGAAAGCTCCAGACTGGAGGATCGCGACGAGGAGCAGGAGCCCCCGCTGGACACCGGCCAGCCGGGCGCCAGCAAGGAGCCGGGCGATGGGGCCTCCAGGGGGGGGTGCCCCTGAGCCATCAACCGCTGAGCAACGGAGGCAAGGACCGGGGATGCTTCCTGGGAGGTGCCAACCCTGGAGACAGGCTGAAGCAGTGCAGGAGCCCGCGGAGAACAAAGGGGTGCCACAGGCCAACCTGCTGAGATTCCAGGACGGGGAGGAAGAAACCATAGAAGTTCTCAATGTGAAGAAATCAAGTGAGAGCAAATGATAGTAAAATTACTTAAGAAAGAATGCAAAGAATATCTTGAAAAATCAAAGACTAAGTCAGAACTCAACTCACCAGCCAACATTGCAACATAAATGCATTTAAAAAAAAAAAAGAAGAAAGAAAGAAAGAAAGAAAGAAAGAAAGAAAGAAAGAAAGAAAGAAAGAAAGAAAAAGGGACAGATTGTTGGAACAGCGGCGACCAGGCCTAGAGTGGCCAGGCACAAGGCAGTGGCAGCCGGGCCCGGAGCAGCAGTGGCCAGGCCCCAGAGCAGCAGCAGCCAGAACCAGAGCATCAACGGCCAGCACTGAAGCAGCCAGACCTGGGGCAGTGGCAGCCAGGCCTGAGGCAGAGGTGGCCAAGCCCAGGGTGGCCAGTCCAGGAACACCCAGACCTGGAGTGGCCGGGCCCGGAGAAGCCGGGCCCAGAGCAGCCGGGTTGGGAGCAGCCAGGCCCAGAACAGCAGAAGCCAAGCCCAAAGCATCCAGCCCGGGTGCGGCCAGGCTCGGAGCAGCCGGGCCCGGGGCAACCGGGCCCAGAGCAGCCGGGTCTGGTGTGGCCAAGCCCGGAGCAGAGGCTGCCAGGCTGGGAGCGGCCAGGCCCGGAGCAGCTGGGTCTGGTGTGGCCAGGCCAGGAGAAGCGGCTGACAGGCTGGGAGCAACCAGGCCCGGAGCGGCCGGGCCCGGAGCAACTGGGCCCAGAGCAGCCGGGTCGGGTGTGGCCAGGCCTGTAGCAGCAACAGCCAAGTCCAGAGCAACTAGATCGGGAGTGGCAGTGACCAGACCCGGAGCAGCAACTGCCAGGCTGGGAGCGGCCAGGCCCAGAGCAGCTGGGTCTTGTGCGGCCAGGCCCGGAGCAGCAGCTGCCAGGCTGGGAGCGGCCAGGCCCGGAGCAGCCGGGTCTGGTGCGGCCAGGCCCAGAGCAGCGGCTGTCAGGCTGGGAGCAGCCAGGCCTGGAGCGGCCGGGCCAGGAGCAATTGGGCCCAGAGCAGCCAAGTCGGGTGTGGCCAGGCCTGTAGCAGCAACAGCCAAGTCCAGAGCAACTGGGTCGGGAGCGGCAGTGACCAGACACAGAGCAGCTGGTTGTGGAACGAACCAGAGCAACAGAGGCCAGGCCCGGAGCAGCCTGGCCCAAAACAGCTCGCTCCTCACCTGCCCCTGCCCCACGGCTGCCTCTCAGACATGGCTGGAAACTTTTGCGGGAACTTGAGGATCTGCTGAATCAAGTGATGAAGGCTTATATCTGGATGTGTTGAGTTAGTATAGTGCTGGGGTGTTGATCTGTGAGTGCCTTGGGTGGGGCCTGGATGAGGCTGGTTGTCCTATTTGGAAATGTCTTTTGTGTGAAGTGTATCATTGGGCATGTGGAGGTATTATTGATATGAGAAAATGCTAAGTAACAGATTTGCTATCTGAAAAGGGATTTACTATTGGGGAAAGGGAGGGAGTAAGAGACTGAACATAAACTGTGCACCAATGGATGAGGATGAGGGGGCAGAGGGTGGGGTGGGAACCTGGTGAGGGGGGAAGAAACAAGGAACCTGTGTAATAATATGAACAATAAAGATTGATTAAAAAAAAAAC